CTGATGCCAATGATTGATCGATATTCAGAAAATCGGTAAGAACCAACACCTTTCCGAAGGGAATCCGTCCTTTTCCTGTTGCCATCCTAGATTGCTTTTGAAGCCACGATATGCGATGTGTCCCACCTAAAGACCAGCGTAGCATAATCGAAATGCACGACAAAACGGGTGAGTAAAAAGAAAATAAACTGTTCGCCAATCAATTTTTCAAGAGTACTGTGTTGCTATTTGGATCTTGAATTGAATTATGTTCAAGAAGGAAAGAACCTTGAAAGGGCATACCTGATTTGCGAAGAAAAGTTGGGTTTTGAGGAATCTCTTGGTTCATAAATGTTAACCTCACTTCCATTTCGAGGGAAAGTGTATAGTGAAGAAATTGGAAGATCGATCCCGCCGGCTGTCGCTTAACTCTGTTTGAATACTCTTGTTGATGCTATTTCCGAGGCAATCTCCTTCAATCAGGAGCATCCTTACAACAATATTCTAGCTAACAAGATTTTTTAAATCTTGACACTTTTTCACCCCATCGAAGGAGATTACCTCGGAGACATTGTTAACAAGGTTTCAGTTAGCCCAATTTGCAAATGGTCAAGAAAAATCTGTCATCGTCTTCTGGTGGAATTTTCCATCGAATCTCTTCATTAAGCACTTTTATTCGAAATGAAAGTGCACTCAAAAATTATAAACTTTATTTGCAGAATATATGAAGACCAAGACGCTGTGACCTCTGCTATAGTCGCAGTCTCCTTTCGATTTATAGAAGTGGGTTGGCCTCGTTGTCGCACTTTGGTCTTGTTGTCAGGGCGAATGCAGCTATTCCGAAGTCATCTGCCATAGTAGTTGTCATGATTCCCAGCATCAGAAAGTGGACTTGGTACATTCTCAAACGTCTCGCCGGCATCGTAGTCGGCATCATCAGTGAGCTTTGCCATTCTCCGCAACAAGCTACGAACTTGTCAAAGAGACAAGTGAAGTCAATCCCTTGACAATTGTTCTGCCGAAAACAGAAGAGTAGATAGATAGACAATGACAGAAAGAGGAGTGAAAGTGCAACCGCTTTCGGCAGAACGGTTGTCGAGGCATTGAATTCACTTGTCTCTTTGACGAATTCGTAGCTTAGTGCGGCACTTACTGATGATGCTGACTACTACGTTTGAGAATGTACCAAGTCCACTGTCTGATGCTGGGAATCATGACAACTACTATGTCAGACGACTTCAGACAAGGTGTGTTCTACTAAGTCGCCCTGACAACAAGACCAAGTTGCGACAACGAAGTCAACCCACTTTATTTGCAGAGTTACGCCTTAGGTCGATTTCACCGAAATCCGACAGCTGATTCCCGTTGTGCTGTAGTCGTTTGGATTCAATATGACGCTCAGGTTGACGCAGTCCACGAAACCTCCTCCCTCGTTTCGGATAAACATATTTTACTTTTACGTCCATCATGCCATTTGTCAGACATCCTCAGAGCTGGAACTCTTTCATGCAAAAGCTTCGAGTTTAAGCGAAATCTAGAGGAGTATCCTGGCATATCCTACATACTCTATTAACCCATAACTATGTACGAAAATAGATAGACATAGAGAGATATAGAGTTATTTGGTTAATTATTTTTCATATGAAATAAAAGCCCACACAACAATGTTTCCACAAAAGATTCACCGAGCCTCAGCTTCATTTTGAATATAAGAATTCTGTGCTGGATATGCCTGACAATTATGTCATTTCTGTTGGCAGAAGCAAGTGAAATTTGAGGATTCCAGTGCTCACGA